TATGTTTTAATTTTGACCAACGTTGGAACTAAGGCATGCAATTGTTATTATTATGTTTATGTTCTCACTCTATATGAATTGTGTTTTTAGGCGGATACAACTTGATGGGTTGTATCAAAGAGATCCCCACTCTCAAAGGTGACAACTACACGGAGTGGAAGAAAAAGATTGACCTAGCTTTCATCTTGGCTGAGGTGGACTGGGTAGTCACCTCACCGTATCCCACTGAGCCTGTGGCACCGGTGAGGGAGACAAACGAGGCTGATGCCGCTTGGGCAACTAGAGAGAGGGATTTTGCATCCCAAAAGATGTCCTATTACCTTTAGCATAGGAAATGGGTCACTGCCAACAAGAAATGTATGGCTGTGATAAAGAACACGATTGAACCTACAATTGTGGGCTCAATCCCAGAGTGTGACACCGTCACCGAGTACCTCGATAGAATAAAGAGTCAGTTCACTGGCTTTTCAAAGATATATGCTACCCAGCTGATGAAGCAGCTAGTGACAAAGGGGTACTCTGGAAATGGTGGCATAAGAGAGCACATACTAAGGATGAGCAATTTGGCATCCAAGCTAAAACCAATGGATCTGCCTCTCAAGGAAGAGTTCCTTATCCATCTGATTTTTGCTTCCTTGCCAAAGGAGTTTGACACTTTTATTGTCAACTACAACATACAGCCCGAGAAGTGGGACTTAGAGAGGCTCATGGCTATGTGTGTGCAAGAGGAGGAGAGAATGAAAGCTGCCAATGGTGGCACTATCAATTATCTGAAAGACAACAAGAAAAAGAATACTAATGCTAACTCCTCCTCAAAGTCAAAGGAAAAGGGTCCCATGCTACATCAGCCTCAGTAGAATAAGTTCACAGTAGAGAAAGACCAGTGTCTCTATTGCAAGAAGATGGGACATTATAAGAAAGATTGTCCCGATTACTTAAAGATGATCATGGCAAAGAAAGGTGAGAACATTATTACGTTCATAAATGAATCCCTGTATGTACAGTATTCCAAATCTACTTGGTGGATTGACTCAGGTGCAACTGTTCATGTTGCTAATTCTTTATAGGGATTCCGTTCGACGAGGACTACGCAAAGAAGAGAAAGACGCGTTAAAATTGCAAATGGAGTCCGAGCAGATGTTGAAGCCGTTGGCGATCTTTCTCTAGAGCTTGCTGATGGTTTCACACTTTTACTTAGAGATGTACTTTATGTTCCCTCTTTACGGAGAAACTTAATTAGTGTTTCATGCTTGGACAATGATGGATATGATTGCCATTTTGGAAATGGCAAATGTAAGACAGCATTTAATAATGCATGTGTTGGTCTTGCTATCTTACAAAATGAGCTTTATTTGTTATCACTACGTGATGATGTGAATGTTGTATGTGATGATGGGAATGTTGCGTGCGACAATGAGAATGTATCCTCGTCTATGGATGTAAACAGAAAACGAAAGAGAGCTCACGATGCGTTGTCGAAATTATGGCACATTCGTTTAGGCCATATTTCAAGGGGGAGAATAGAAAGACTAGTTAAGAATGATATTCTTCCTCCATTAGAGTTCTCAGATTTAGAACAATGTAGAGAATGCATAAAAGGAAAGTATGTAAAGAAAATTAAGAAAGATGTCAAACGAAGCATAGGAATTTTACAGATTATTCACACAGACATCTGTGGTCCATTTCCTGTAAAGAGCGTGGATGGTTATGATTCATTCATAACATTCACAGATGATTACTCCCGTTATGGCTACATTTATCCAATCAAAGAAAGAACAGAAACATTGGATAAATTTAAGATATTTAAGAAAGAAGTTGAAAACCAACACAATTTAAAGATTAAGATAGTCAGGTCTGATCGTGGGGGAGAGTACTACGGTCGACATACCCCATATGGCCAAGTTCTTGGACCTTTTGCAAGGTTCTTACAGGAGAATGGCATAGTAGCCCAGTATTCTACACCGAACGAACCTCAGCAGAATGGAGTAGCTAAAAGATGCAATCGTACCCTGATGGATATGATGCGCAGTATGATAAGTTACTCTACCTTACCGTTGAGCCTGTGCATGGAGGCGTTAAAAACCGCCATTCATATTCTTAATAGAGTACCAAGTAAGTTGGTGCCCAAAACACCGTATGAGTTGTGGACTAGAAGAGTACCCTCACTAAACCACTTACGTGTGTGGGGGAGTCCTGCTGAGGCTAAAGTATTTAACCCAAACATTGGGAAGCTAGACCCCAAAACAGTAAGTTGTCATTTTATTGGCTATCCAGAAAAATCAAAAGGTTTTCGTTTGTACTGTCCAGACAGACATACAAAGTTTGTGGAAATGAGACATGCTGTCTTTCTAGAGGATGAAATGATGAGGGGGAGCATGGTAGCTCGAGAAATTGACCTTGAAAAGAAACGGGTATATGCGCCCACTCCAATGATTCATGAGCCATTTTTCTCACTACCTGCTGTTGCTGCACCGATAGTGCAAGATACTGTGGTGCCAGCACCTGTTGTTATTCCGTCTGTGACAACAATGAATGACGATGAGGAACCTGTTCTTCAGGATCCTGTAGAACCTATTGCCACATATGAGGGGCAGTAACAACAACCTCAAACAGAAGATGTGCCAAATGTGGAGGCCCCTAGAAGGTCTCAAAGAGTTAGAAAATCAGCTATTCCTGCTGACTATGAAGTATACAACACTGAGAAATTTCAAATGGAGGATGATCCCACCTCATTTGAAGAAGCCATGAGAAGTGATCATTCATCAAAGTGGCTTGAGGCCATGGAAGATGAAATGAAATCTATGAATGCCAATAAAGTTTGGGACTTGAAAATAATTTCTAAAGGAGCCAAAACAGTAGGCTCTAAATGGGTCTACAAAACAAAACTTGACTTTCAAGGGAATATAGAGAGATATAAAGCGCGACTTGTGGCAAAAGGCTTTACGCAAAGAGAAGGTATTGATTACAATGAGACCTTTTCTCCAGTCTCATATAAGGATTCCTTCAGAATCATAATGACATTAGTGGCACATTATGATTTAGAATTACATCAGATGGATGTAAAGACGACATTTCTCAATGGGGACTTGGGGGAAAGTGTTTATATGGCACAACCGAAAGGTTTTGTCATGGAAGGAAAAGAACGAATGGGATGCCGCCTAAAGAAATCCATTTATGGATTAAAACAAGCTTCAAGACAGTGGTACTTGAAGTTTGATCAGACAATAAGAAATTTTGGGTTTAAAGAGAATGTAGAGGATAATTGTGTATATGCAAAGTTTAAGAATTGGAAGTTTATCTTTCTTGTCCTGTATGTGGATGATATCTTACTTGCTAGTAGTGATGTCAGTCTACTGCTGGAGACAAAGAAGTTTTTGTCCTCAAAATTTGATATGAAAGATCTTGGTGAAGCTTCGTTCGTTCTAGGGGTCGAGATTCACCGAGATAGAAGTAAAGGGGTATTAGGACTATCACAAAGAGCATACATAGAAAATATCTTAAAGAAATTCAGTATGCACAAATGTAGTCCCTCACCTGCTCCTATAGTCAAGGACGACATATATGGGGATTTTCAATGCCCTAGGAACCAATATGAGATCGATCAAATGAAAGCGGTTCCATATGCTTCAACTATCGGAAGCTTGCAATATGCTCAAGTATGTACGCGCCCTGACTTGGCATTTGTTACCGGGTTACTTGGCAGATTCTAGAGCAATCCTGGAACAGAACATTGAAAATTGGTAAAGAAAGTCTTGCGTTATTTGCAATGAATGAAAAGCCTCATGATGACGTATAGAAGATTAGATTCACTCCATACAGTGGGATATTCTGATTCTGATTATGCGGGAGATGATAGAAAATCCACGTCTGGATATGTATTCACTCTCGTAGGGGGAGCTATTTTATAGAAAAACTCTAAGCAAATCGTCACTACATCGTCCATAATGTATGCCAAGTTTGTAGCATGTTATGAGGCAACGGGGCAGATGAACTGGCTAAAGAAGTTCATACCCGGTTTGAAGGTGGTTGACGACATCTATAGACCACTTAAGTTATACTGTGATAATAATCCAGTAGTACAGTATGCTCACAACAATAAGTCAAGTGGTGCTGTCAAACACATTGACATAAAGTATTATGTTGTGAAAGATAAAGTCCGGGATCATGTCATAAGTCTTGAGCATATAAGTACCGAAAAGATGCTTGTGGATCCGCTTATAAAAGGCTTACCACCCAACGTGTTCAGAGAACATGTAGCCGGTATGGGTTTAAGAGAAAGCCTATAATTCCTGGATAAAAGAAGGCACAAAGTTAAGTATCTATTTCAGAACATAGTGGTGTGTTGTAACGGTTAAATCTATCGGCAATTGATCGTGACGATGAAACATGCTTTATGCGCTAATCTGTAATGGAATAAACAAAAGTAAATAATATGGAATTAAAAGATGGTAGGAGATAGAGGGAGAGATTGTTAGATTGATCTCTAAGCCCAAACTGGGCCCAACGGCCCAGTTAGGCCTTTGATCCACGCTCTGATCGGGGGCGCCCAGCCCATTATGATTGGAGAGCCCCTGTCACACTGCGCAATAAATAGAGGTGGGCCCGGCGGCTCAAGCACGTCACGAGGTTCGCCTGAGCCGAGCTCCCCACCGACACCTAAACCCTAATCCGATCTAGAGGGGCGCAGCCAGTGACGAGAAGCCACCAGCCGCGCCGCCCCGCTCCACCGACGTCGACGGCTTCATCGACCTCTTCATCGAACGTCGCTGCCCGTGCGCAGACTTCACCGACGAACGAGATGGCCGACGCTTCTGGACCTCCCTCCGCGGTGTCAGATTCGACACCTTCTTCTTTCCCTCTCTGTTTCTCTAGTTCTACATGTATTAGTATGTGCTACGTCTTTTATCCTGAATAGAACTATTCTACTTGCTAGATCTATGCTCGTGATGCTCTAGAAAGTTCAACATGCCCAACATCGCCACCTCCATCGGCCGTTCGAGGACCCCGTGGTCCAGGAGTACTACCAGCCGCTGTGGCGCAAGTACTCCGGCGTCATCGACTACGTCAACTTCAAGTTCTACGGCTACGGCGCCAACACCGACGTGCCCACGTACGTCATGTTCTACGACGACCAGTCGGTGAACTACCCCTGCGGCAAGGTCCTCGCCAGCTTCAAGACCGGCGACGTCACCGGACTGCTCTCGCCAGACCAGGGCATCAGTGGGGCCAAGGAGCTGCAGCGGCAGAACAAGCTGCCCGGGCTGTTCATCTGGTCAGCGGACAGCTCCAAGAAGAGCAGCTACGGCTTCAAGTACGACACTGAGGCGCAGCAGATCATTGCCAACCACTGATCTCTGCATCTATGCATCTAGCTTAACAAGGGATCACACTAAATAAATAATAACCTCTCAGGTCAACGACAATTACTTGCAGGTTAATTAAAGAGGTTGGTCTTGATTTAAGGACCAGAATAATGGTGACTGAAAAAAATGCAAGTTTATAAACAGTAATAAGCATGCTGTTTGCGTGCAGTATTAATAAGAGTGAAAACCAGTCTATCCACCGCATGTGTTTGGGTTTTGCGAAGCACTAGGAGCATTGCTAGAAATTGGTAGATATCATCGAGCACTACAATTTTCATACAAAAAGTCAATATTTATCCAACACTATAGAAAAAAAAATTTAATACAACAAACTCTGGTACGTGATTCATATGCTGCTCGAACTTTATATTACTTTTTGAGCATTTTAACAATTTGAAATGACAAAACTCAAAATTAGAAATTTGTAGATCTCGTCGAGAGCTACAATTTTCATATATAAAGTATCTTTATCCGACACCATTCAAGAATGATATGATTTTTCTAAGATGACTAAGCCCTGGTACACGATTAATATGTTGCTCAAACTTTATATCATTTTTGGAGCATCTAAACAATCTCAACTGATAAAACTCAAAACTAGAAATTTATAGAGTTTATGAGAGCTACAATTCACACTTAAAATATTTTTATCTGACACCATACAAGAAAGGTATGGTTTTTTGAAGACGACAAGCTATGGTACACGATCAATATGCTGTTGTATTTTACTTTTTTGAGCATCTTAACGATCTCAAAAGGAAACACGTAACTAGAAAAGTTGTAGATATCATTGAGAGCTATAATTTTAAAAATCTTTTTAATTCAAGATACATGAAATAGATTTAATTTTTCTAAGGTGGAGTCTTGCTGTTAACACGCAGGTCTCATTTATGAGATTTATGCTATATAATAAGATATTGCGTCAGGTAGACGCCCGTTTAGATCTATATAAGACCCGTTATAACTTTATATAGCTAAACATATATTTTGAAACTTTAGGATCTATTGATGATCATACAACTCTAAACTAACTTTGAAATAACTTTTAGGGCTCTTTTGACTTTTGAATACAGTCTCTTTATCAATATATTGTTTCTTTTACTCTAATAAAAAATGAAATAAAATAAATAAAAAATGAAATAAAATAAATGAAAAAAGAAATCATTTATTTAATGAATAGTTGTAGCATCCGGTTTTAAGGACAAAATTAGATACGCACCATATATGAGCCTAGAAAGTCAAATCTCGCATATAGCTACAAATAAGGGTAATATCGAAAGACAATGCTCAATATATAACATACTTATTATAAAGAATATAATCTTAAACAGCAAATAGCAGAAAGACAACTCTGATCTTCGAGTGAAAACTCCAATCCACATGGACAACTGACTGGTTGATCACAAGCCTAACTTCTTCAAACTCTAGCAATCTGGTACACATCCGGGATTTTTCTAAAGTATTGAAAAAGTAAAACAAGCGTAAGTACATGTCATACTCAATAAATATAACATGGGATTCATGAGGCTCAAAAGGTTGACACTGGTTTACTGCGATTAGCTTTTAATGAGTCATGATTTTAGCAATTGAGTAGCAACAAGTTTATCACAAGCCCATGTAAACATATGATCAGGTAAATATGAATAATGAATAGCATAAACAGTAAACATTAGTGAGCATCTTTATCATCATTATCATTAGTGTTCATCATCTATTCCGTAAGGGTTTCAAGGCCGCTCGTGACCGTGAGCACGGCTGATATACCAGTTTTACACTCTGTAGAGGTTATACACTTTCACTGTGAGTCGTGATTTACCCTTTCGTCCGAGGTCGCGAGCCTCTTAACCCACTACCAAGGAAGGTCAACAGTGGTCACTATAAAGCCTTTTAAAGGTTCGTCTAATGAGTTAGGGACGCTAGGTTTCCAATTGACAAACAGATGTAGAGCTCCCCTTTCAAATGGCACAATAACGCGCAGCCTATACACATAAAGACATAGGCCGCACTATATCCGATTCGTCAAGCCCCTCTTGCGCCATAAAGATAACCACTAACAAGCTAGAAAATGTCCTCATACTTGACTAAAGCCAGAGCCATGTGGCCCTCACAGTTGTACTGTAAGTTCTGGATGATCACTTACAGATAAGTCCTTAGGGAGAGAAATCTAGAGCACCATAATAGTAGCCCAATGCCCTAGCTCCCTGATTCTATGTTGCTAAAAAGCATCTTTTAATGTTTATTGCATATATCATTAGTCAAGTTACAAGATCATGGTCTTTAATTGAGCACTAGCATCATACTACCTAATGCAATACCCCATAGGTATCAAGGTGCAAGGTAACAAAGTACTAGGAAATCCTTAGTGGTAATCAAGGTAGACACATGTAGTATGATAAGTGATTAATGGTGAATAGGTAAGAAGAAGAATCACATGCTATACTTGCCTTAAACTCGGATCCTTCCTCTAGTCCACAGCTTCAAAGGAACTTCTTCTTGATCAACACGTAAAGCTCACCAACTGGACAAGATCATAAAGCACCACACAAGCATCCATACAATCATACATGAAGCAAACAATAGAACTAAATTAGAACAGTACACCAAACAATAAAAAGGTTTGAAAACTAATCTACGCATTGCTATGAACACATAGACGCAAAAAGCACGCTAATCAAAGCTACGATAAAAAAGAAACATCTACCAGAAGATTCACATTTATATAAGCAGAAAACTATAGGCTTCATTTATTTTAACTATATAAAATCATATTTATAAGATATTTTAGAGAAATATCCGAATGGAATTAAGTCAAATTATATTTGAAATTAGAAAACTAAAGTAATTTTAATCATTTTTTATTTATAAACCTCGTTGCATAACCATTAATCAAGTTAGGATTTAAATCATGAAATTCCATATCGAGTTACATGGTAAACACTATTACAAACACGTAGATTATGTCATTGTGAATCTAACGCAACTTGAACGGGTCAAAACAGAGTTAAAACGAAGAAGATATGATGAAAACAGTGTTGATGGCAATTTTGTAAATAACCCGAACTGCATTAGGTTTTTAAAACATGAAAACGTATTTTGAATCTAACAGAGAGAAACTACGCTTTCAGAAAAGGAAAACGTATTTCGAAAACATGCTATGGACTACGGGTTTATTTTGTAAAAGTCGGGGGTCTTTTTAGCAAAAAGGGTGGCGAAAGGGTACGTTCTAATCTCGATCGTTGATCTTTGAACAGACAACTATGGGGTCTGGAGCGGTGGTTGCCGACCGGAATAGAAGGGTCGACGCGGTGGACTCCATTGCCGGTGGTGAGATGCTCGCCGGAGTGGGATGAAAACGTCGTAGAGGCCTCGGTTTTCAACGGGAAAAGCATGGGGAGACAGAGGAGAATACAATGAGCTCACCTAGGCAATTTTCTTGGACGGAGACGGCTTGAAGACAATGCAGGACACAGCGGGCGGACGGTGGCTCCCTGCGACAGTTTGGCAGCGATTAGGGACCACACGAGAGCGAGAGAAAGAGGAGATAAGGGCTCGGGAGCTTCGAAACCTCGGCGCAAAACTCGATAGCAAGTCGCGAACGGCTGCGAGGCTTCAAACGGCGTGCACTGCCGCGGCGGCGTCGGCTCCCAACTCAATGAGATCCGATGGAGCAGAGGTGTGGCTAGGGCTAGTAGGTGACTGCTCTAGGGTTCGGGATGGAGGCGGCGCTGACGCTAATGAGGGATAGGGAGGCAGCGCTGTGCAGGCTCGGTATTTATGAGGGCCCTCGGCGTGGGGCGCACGCCAATCGCGAGTCGGCGCGGCGACGGACTCCTTCTCGGTAGAATCCAACGCGGAGATGAGAGAAGGAAGACGAGCGAAGGTAGGAGATGACACTGATAGAGAGGCCCACCTGTCAGCGATAGGGCGAGGGAGAGGGCGGCGTCCGCGCGTTGCTGGGCCGGCCTGTTTAGCTGGGCCTGCGGGAGAGTGAGGGAGACAACGGGGAGGAGCAGGCTGCTAGTTGGGCCACGGGGAAGAAGCGGGAGTAGGCCGGCTGAGGGATTGGGTGAGGGAACTGTGCCTTCAGGCCAAAAGTCAGGGTGAGAGAGGGAGAGAGGTGAACTTCCTTTTTCTTTTTCTAAATTTCCAAAGCAATTTTCAAATGAGTTTTGAATTCTCTTTTGAGTTTTAGATCAAAACCACTCACCACAATAAATCAAATGCAACGGCATGTATGCTCAAACATGTTGCTACCTTATGATAAATTTTAATTTAATGAAAATTTATTATTTACCTATGTTTTCATGAACACAAAATACATAATTAAATCATTTCATTTCTATTTCAAAAAGAAGCAAATTTTAGGGTGTTACAATAGCATAAGATTTATTTTTTTATTTGATTTGGCATTATTCAACAAGATTTTTTTGACAAATTCCTTTTTTTGAAAGTCATGTGATAATTATGAGACCTGTCGAGCATCTCTCATCGCGGTTAGCCAAGTGGATGGACTGTAGGTGGGCTAGGAGATGTACGTGGGCTGCTTTTGGACTGTTGGTCAGTATTGTTTTACTTTCAAATTTCTTCCAAGCGAGCGGTGGCCCATATCATATTTCTATTGAAGATTAGGTATGCCATTTTTCTTTTATGTTTTTTAGAAAAAAAATGATTTTATTCTAGTCTCTTCATAAATTATACATACTAGCAAATATACCCGTGCGTTGTAACAGAAAAAAAAGCTACCAAACGTTTATTAAAAACCAGGCCGAGAATGTTACATTATTTATTTTTTATATTTTCTATAAATTTTAAAATCTATAATTTTTTTTACAATGACAATGACATCCATAACATAATAAGTTCACATTGACAATAATACAACAATATACTATTAAATCTCCATCGAATTAAAATACAACTTCATCGGTGAAATCATTTCTTTTGCTTCGGCTCCACAAGCAGCTCCACAGGTGGAGCTAGAGCTGTTTTTAGACTCCATTTAACGAATAGCTTAACGTGTTAGACAAAACAATTCCTAAACTTTAAAATGACTATTATGCCCTTCTCTTTCCCTTCTATTTTTCCATCTCCTTCTCTTCTCGTGGCCTCTCTCTCATCCGGTGGCCGTCCACCGTTCCCTAAACCGTGGCACCTTGCCATCTCCATCACGCTCATCAATGTTGGCGGTCCTCGCGCCCTCCCCGATGGCCGCACTCACGACACTGGCGGCCTGGTGCGCTCCCTCCCATGTTGTTCGGCTGGGTTGGCTGGCGAACAGCTTCAGAAGCCGGTGCAGAAGCCGTGCAAAACGGGGCCGTACTTGTAAATATATCGCAATTTTAATGTTCATACTATGCATGTGTTGGTAGAATTAGATATCGAGCTTTATGATTTCTTTTGGAACCCATAAAAATACATAATTCTAATATTTGATTAAGTCAGCAAGAAGTAAGTTGTTGGAGACCTCTCTCTCAATTTCCATATGGCAACCCTCGTCGAGGATTGGAGTTGTGTATGCCTACAATTGGAGATACATTTATTTTAATTAGATTAGATAACAAACTGATGAAGATTTTAGTTCACGATTTGATTAGTTGGACCATCAGTTGATCGAGGCTCTAATAATAAATGAGTTTTATATATAATCTTCATCAACAACTTGAAACTTAGTGGTGGAATATTTGTTTATTAGGGGTTATAGAAGGGTCTAGAGTTCAAAGACACATAGTAATGGATTTGTTATTTATGTTTATAAGAAAAACAAGAGATATTAAAAAAAGAAGAAAAAACGAAAAAAGTCACGGAAAGAGAGTTGGTTACCGAAGGAAACTAATACTCTGGAACTTTTTTTGAATTGCGGTAAGGAATCTCCACGGTGTTAATACGGAAAAAAAAACGAGATATATGGAAGTGCCAGCAGGACATAGAAACACAAATATGAAAATGACGCGAAAATGGAAAAATACGAAAATGACACGAAAACGGAACGCTGCCGTGTTACCGGGAAAAAAGGCATAGGGACATCACGAGCCGAACACGGAAATGAGACGATAATTAGGTTGGACGAAAAATTATTAGTGGCCAGAAATTTTGGCTCTTTAGTATTAGGTAGATATAACCATCCATTATTAAAAAACAAACACGGATGAAAAACAGCCTATGCTCAAAGAGCGGCATAGAAACAATAGCCGCCAACTAAACACCAAGTCTATTAGAAGACAAATATCCATTCCTAATGGTGCAACTTTTTATCGCGGGTTCTTCTTTGAAAGTTTTTTTTATCACAGGTTTGTCGTGTTATTTGACCTGTACATAAATACACATCTATAATCTATAAATCCATTATGTGTGTAGCGTAAATATGATAGAAAGGCTTCTCCTAGTTTTTTCATATATAAGTTATTCCTTATTAAAGCTCTTTTAACCTTATATAATTAATTTTATAGTGTGATGAAGATGATGGCATTCTAGGTTTACTTTAAATCAAACCATCTCAAATTATATTAAATTTGTGTAAACTATTATCAACATTTATTACAACTTAGAATAAACAAAAATATCCAAATATGTTTTATGGTAAATTAAATGATACTTATTTCATACGCTGGATATTATTATCCTTTCATATAACTATATAAGTTTATCAAACTTAAATAAATGCTTTAATAATTTATTCTAGGACAAAGCTAAGAACTGCGGGTTTTTTATGGTGGGACCGGCCAGGGCACGAGAGAAACTACGCACGTGGTGGTATATCTACCAGGCACCGTCCACTGAAACGACAGTCCCGGCCCACGATCTAATCTTGCTACTCACTGCCATCCGGGCTCCACACCCGAGTCAACCTCAATGCTCCCTCACCTTCCGTACACCGGGCCCATACACCGTACGTAGAACGCAACCCGCTCGCAACAAAATATCGGACGCCCCACCAACGGACAAACCCACCGCACCATACACCGGGTCCACGCAGCTTTCAGAGCGTCCACCTCCCGCTCCGATCCGGGAGGAGGCGGAGCGTGCCGCGGCGCCGACCGAGACCGATCCCCGCGGTGAAGCAGAGACCTGCGCGTATAAATACCCGACCTCGCCGGCGCCCGCGAGCTTCGAGAAAACCTCCTTCGCCGCGCCTTGCCCTAACAGCCTACTAACTAGCTGCGGCGCTCCACTATCACTCCCTGCTACTACACCTACTTCCGCTCTGGTACTGTTGCTGCTGCTGCTGCTGCTTCTGGTGGCGGTGGCACCCAAACCCTATCCCCTGCCCTGATGTCGCAGCAGGACGCTGCGGACCCGCCTTCGGCGACGGACGAGCGGCCGGGGGGTCTCCCGCGGACCGGCTCCGCCAGCCGCCTCAACGCGCAGGCGCCGGAGTTCGTGCCGCGCGCTGCCGCGGTGCCCCCGCCCCCTCCGCCGCAGGCGGTGGTGCGTCTGTTCGCGCCGCCTCCTCCTCCCGCGGCGTTCTTCGTCGCAGCACCCCCGCCTCCGCCGCCCCCGTTCGAGTACTATGCGGCGGTTGCCACCGGTGGGGGTGCCAGGTTCGGTCCCCCCGCCGAGCAGGACGCCGAGGCTGAGCAGCCGCCGAGGGACGGGAGCTTCGACGACCCCGTGCCCAAGATCAGGAAGCAGGTGGGTGGATGCTCCTCTCCGTCGTCGTTCCTGGTGATCCCTGATACGATAGGTGCAATTAGATCACTAGATCAGGAATAGAATTTGCTCAATTTGTGACATTTTTATAGTCCCACAAGCTGTCTGCGTCATCCGATGTGCTTCCCAGTAGTCTCACGAGGAATTAAATTTGCTTAATGTGGAGTACATCTTTTAGTCTCGCAGATATGCTGGACACATGCCATGAAAATCTATTTGCTACTTTGGCCACTTTAGATGTGTTTGCATTGAACAGAAAGTCAAGCATTGTTCAGATTGAACTGCCTGCTTTTGTTGTGCTAATGGTAATGTAGGGGGCTAGGAGCTGCGTAGTGCACATGTTATTTATTAGTTGAGGCACACATTTTATTTAGTTGTGGTGAAATGGAGCAAGGGGCAGAGCTACATGAACTTACTGGGATCAGCTGACATGTACAAATGTGGAAAATCCTAATACACTATACAAATTCACTGTTTACTAGTATATTTAAGTGATGATTAGTGGGACTGACTCCGGCGATTCCATTTTCTGCTCCGCCCCTGAATGGAGCCGCTAGCAATCGAACTTGTCAAAATTCTGGTATTTTGCTATTTGTGTACTTGTAGTATCTGTTAAGATGGATAATGTTTCATGGTAATTTCCTCATCTCTCTAAGTAAATGATGGTAGGGTAATTTTGGTTCATTTTTTAGTTTAAGCTAATGAATTGAATTCGTACCTTTCCTGTGTTTGGATGTTAATAGATCATGTTTGAGAAATCAGGTAACAAGGATACATCGTGGTTTCAGGATCTATTCTTTTTTATGTGATCTACTTCAATAACTCATTTAAGCCTAGGATGGTAAGGTGTCGCCTCACCTCGCCTTATCATTGTGAGGGGGTAGGTCGCCACGCCTCGCCTCACCTTACCACCTTAAGAACCATGGTTGAGAGGGACTGCACCACTACCGTTGTAATAATGATGCAAGAAATTTAACTTCTCAAATTTATACCTTTGAGGATTGATTTGATTTTGATGGGTTAAGCAGTTAGACTTAACTGATCCTTCTGTTGGGTAATGGCAGTGAAGAAAAAGTGAGCTTTGACTCCCTAATCTTTGGTACTGGATTGATTGTTCAAAGATCCAGTATCAGGGGCTATATTGGTGGGCAGGAAGCAGCATAGAATGTAGCTGAAAGAAGTTAACAGGCAAGGAGATGGAAGTTGTCACTGGTGATGGTGGTGGCAATGGCATCCACAGGGAAGGTAGGGGGAGGAATGGTGGTGCCACTTGGAGGAGATAAGTAGAGGAGGTTGAATCTCTTTTCTTGTTTGATCCAAAATGGGTACATGGAATTTTTTTAAAAAAAAACGGGTACATGGCTTCTCCTATGGAGACCTAACTTGACTCCCAAGCAACTAATAAATTGAATCCTTATAGATTGTGTCCACCCTTTCCTAATAGTCTACTTTCCTAGCTTTAATAGCTAACAGTCTCAACTTTCCTTAAAGAAGCAAAAAACCAACTCATGATATCAAAAGGTATCTTGCCGATGGGGTAAAATTGATGAAAAAAAGGAAAGGATGCGTGCAACCATTCTGGCAGCGGTGCCGCCTTTAGGTTTGCTGGGCTAAGCCAGCCCATGGTGTGGTGACCCATGACATCCAGAGGGTAGATATTTTTATTCATTTGAATGCATGTTGACGGCGAAAGAACTTGACGTCCATGTTTAGAGTATGATCTGTAGTTCTAGTATCCACTCCCATTAGGATCTAATGTATTCCATGCTGCTGAAATGTGGGTTTATAGTGTTAATGTGCTAATTAAATTGAAATTTTCAAATTGTGAACTTATATAGGACTATAGGAGGCTGGATTGTTTGTGATGTTGAACTACTCTAGGCTTATTTAATACATTATTATGGGAATTTTCGGGTGGCAATGGTTTGCTCTATTTGGTTGAGCAACCCCTATTCGATATTTTAATTTGTATTCAAGTTTGCTAACTTCGAATTCCATTTTATTCAGCTATTAGTTTGTTTGTTTCATTAAATTATAATTTTTCAGGCCCTAGAGCTCTGATTATTTAATTATGTTATTTGAACCAAATCATAATGTCATATTTGGTTCCATGATTTTGTGCTATTAGTGTACTTCATGGTTTTATACTTCACAGTTTTGTGTTATATTGTAGTTCATCTTTTTTTTTGTTAGCATTTCTAGTGAGCAATTGTTCATGGGATGCACCAATTGTACTGCAAAAGCATTATAGCAGTCGTCTTGGCCGTTTAAGTTGGAGAAAAGTTGTTGACATGCTTACTTTAGTGCAAAATTGTTTTATGAAATGCAGCAAAATTGTACTTGGAGTTTTTTTGGGCCTTGATCATGTATTCATGTTGATAAAATGGTTCTTAGTGCACATTGGGTAAACTAAAATTAAGTTGAATATGAGGATGCTCTTCTTCTGTTGGTTAGCAAATATCAACTACCATTGGTGCTCTGTAGTTCCAGTCTGATGGTGCTTCATTTTATGTTTTTAGTTCAGCCAGTGTTGAATTTTAATTTGATCTATTAAATTTTGTAGTCTTGTGACTGGTAGTGGCCTAGAAAATCCAGACAAAGACAAATTGTTGCATCTTATTATGTGTTGTAAAATCACATCTTTTTTTTTGTTTTTTTGTTTTCTGATTTCTCAAAATCTGACGTTATAGGTGGAGTATTATTTCAGTGATATAAACCTGGCCACCACTGAACATTTGATGAGGTTTATTTCAAAGGATCCTGAAGGATATGGTGAGTCGCGTGCTTGCTTCTGAAGCTACTTTATTTTGATGTGCACATATGAAGTTATCACATTGATACCAGTTGTTGAATTTATGGTTTTTCTTTTTGAAAAAATATCATTATTTAAAATTTATAGCTTCTTTCCATCATTAGAAACCAAGTCATTTTTAATGACTTTCTATTTTAAGGCGACGGTCAAAATCATAGTAGGCTTTGAAAGGTGATATTGACATAGTCTGGAGGTTTAATATTTGTATATATGAAGGGTATTGTTCAATTACTTACATTGATTATATCCTGTTTAATTTGTGACATTTTCCTACTGCACTAATTTTCTGATAGATGCACTTTTGGTTGGATGCATCTTATCAGGATAAGATCCATTCAGTGTACTCAAAGATTTGGTTCATGGAGCAAATGGTTTTCGGTTGTTTTTGCTTACATCTTACCATGAACTTGGAATCAATTGATTTTCACTAGTACTACAACTAGTTCCCTTTTTTGAAGTGCAATCTATTATACATTTTCTTTTATCGAAATTAATAAAAGAAAAATGGTTACAGTATTTATTAGAATGGTGCCCTCAATCTCCTTATGTTACAGAAATGAGTTGTCTTAGAATAAGACCTTTTGGTCATGACTTCAGTATGCTATTTTTTTTAGTCAACCACTTCTTTTGTGGAAGCTGTTTGTGCTTAATGTGAAGAAATCTAACTTTTATAATTGAAGTGGACAAATGCTTTTTAGTGGGAAAACTAATGTGCTTTCTCATTCAATGTAGTGCCAATATCAGTTGTTGCTGGCTTTAAGAAAATTAAGGCTTTAGTGCAAAGTAACTCCATGCTTGCTTCTGCTCTTCGGACTTCATCAAAGCTTGTAAGTTCCATGATAATCCAATTGTGTAGTTACACTTGACCCTAACATACACTATTGTGTTCTGAAGTTTCTTACTAAATTCAATACTTCATAGGTCATAGGCATAAGATTAGAGGCATCATACCCATCGTACCCTCACTGTTGGTTGTGTCCTCTGGAAATCTATGTTGCTTATGTCCGCAACAATATTTTTTAATTATTTTGGGCATATATACAGGTGGTCAGTGATGATGGAACAAGAGTAAAACGTGAGCAACCATTTACAGAATCGGATTTAGAAGAACTCCAGGTGACTAGCAATGCTTTGTACATTGAATGGCACTAGCCCCATTAATATTGAATTATTCTCTAGTTATAAGAAAACCTTTGCTAGACTGTCAGATAAGGAACACCTCATCTGTTTTGTAGGCCCGAATTGTTGTTGCAGAAAATCTCCCAGATGATCATTGTTACCAGAATTTGATGAGGCTCTTTTCAGCTGTTGGCAGGTAAACGCTAATGTAGGTCTATATCAAGTGGACCACTTTCTATTTACTCATGAAAATGGAAAGAACCATACACTGTATTTGTAATTTATTTTGTTTTGTCATTTGCCAGTGTGAAGACAATTAGAACTTGCTATCCTCAGACCCCAAATGGCTCTGGTCCAGCTACTAACAGATCTGCAAAGCTAGATATGCTTTTTGCCAACAAAGTAATGACCTTCTCTGTTTGTACTTTAATATCATGTTATCTGGAAATGAACTCTAGTAGTTACTGTAAATAAATATGTCTCATAGGGTTCATTGAATTGGAAATAGATATGCTTTTTGCCAACAAAGTAATCGCTATTCCTGATTTTGATACTTAAATATCATACTGCAATTGAAAACTGTTTTGTACTGCTATCCATAAATAACTACTTTTGGTAGGGTCTGTTGAATCTTCCCTGCACCCTGCATGGCTGCACCCTAGGAAAGTAAAAAAGAATAGAACATTGCTCAAGTAGTAACGCGTCTAACTGTCTATGCAGGCATAATTGGTTAATGGGATTTTAGAAAGCCTACTACTTGCTCCTCAACATCTTGTCCTTGCATTGGAGACACTAGACAATGGGTTTATGGGTCTAATGCCCATAACTGTATCAGCCCAGGAGGGTGGTGACAACTGACAACCCTGGGGCAACCACCACTGGCCTTCATGCTGTCATGAGTCATTGTATTTCTAGGAAGTTTTACCTTTTGTAGTTAGGAAAAATGAGATAATCTATAAGATCCCATGTCTATATGAATAGAGGATATGTATCATGATTAATCAAGCAAGAAGGGTCAAGCCCACTTCTGCTGTTAGCCGTCACTCCGAGCCTCTTGTGCCGCCTCTCTGCCCTGCTGCACCACCTTCATGGCCGCTAGTCACATCTCACTCCTCAGTAATGCAGGCACCTAATACCATCTTTTCTTTATCACTTCATAAACCAAGCCCCGATCCTGACATTTGACACATATTGCACTGAGAACATAAAGGAAATATTAGTTTGTGGGTTGTTGGTTCATCAGTCATTTATATTCTGACATTTTTTCTTTTCTTGAACGGGCTTTAAGAGATGCCTGTCATATGTTAAGAGGAATGAAGAACCAGTTTACCAAACAAACCCAAAAATGAAAACAAAATCTGGAAGTTTCTAACATAATTTCATACATCGACACCATATTTAAGTAAAAGGCTAGTGCTGAAAAAATAGGAACACTGCTTCAAATGGCTAAACATATCAAATAATAAGATATGAAACTTGGTTCAAATGAATCATTATATTTTATGCAATAGACAAATTATATGTCTTCCTTTTCATCATAGTCTTGTCACATGACGGTTATGTCCTGCCAAAATAATAATAACTTTTCTTTGATGGCAGCTTCATGCTTTTGTTGAGTATGATACTATTGAAGATGCTGGTAGAGCGGTATGCGTTTTTATATAATGTTTCAATATCACATTTGTTTTGTAAATGCATTATCTTATATTATTTCATGAATTACAGATTGTGGAACTTAATGATGAGAGGAACTGGAGAAGTGGTCTTAGAGTTCGATTGTTAAGCACTTGCATGGTAACCTTCCATTGAACTTCATTAATTGCACACGGGATGGCTTAGTGTTGTATTGGTGTTTATTGTTCAACTGCTTACATCAAGATAGAAGGAACTTGGCATATTACCTCAAGATGTCATATTACAAACTAATCATATTACAAAAATCCTCTGGGGCTTTGAAACTGCTATACTACTATGCGTACCAATATAGCAGTTTCAAAGCCCTGGACGAGTCTTCCAGAAATAGGTTTATTTTGAATCTACTTTTTAGTGAAGCAGAAACTGCCCAACGCCCAAAGGCCAAAGCCAGGATCAGAACAATAGGGTTATGAGGAAAACTTATTTGGAAATTTGAAAGCTCTCTTGAACTGCTCTGCTATAAACATGATGACACATTTTTTTCTTAAAAAATAGGAGAAGTCTATTTTTGCCATCCAACTATTGTCCTAGTTGGTTTTACTGTTTTGGCCAATTAACTAGAAAACCAGGAATCTTTGACCATCCAACTTATGATACTGTTCATATTTGGCGATTCGGCAGTTTTGATGTGGTTTGGTTGACATGGAGATAAATGCTGACATGTGGGCCTGACTGGCACTTGTCGTTCACGTCACCAAAACCACCCATAAAAACAGCCGAATGGTCAAATATGAATGGTGTCAATAGTTGGATGGTCAAAGATTTCTGGTTTTTGAGTTTAATTGGCAAAACCAAACTCGGACGATAGTTGGATGGCCAAAAATAGACTCCTCCCAAAAAAAATAGTGTGTGGAACTCTATGCACTAGTATTAGAGATAGCTGTTGTACATGACTTGTCTTGTACATATCTTGTACTGCAAGCCAGTTCCAGCTATATATATGCAAGGTCAACCAACCCTAAGGGTGTGAAGTATTTTCCTACCTCTCTACATACATGCACTTTAGGAAGATGCATAAAACCATGAAGAACATATTCATTATTTTGATTTCTTATTATCCCCTTACCAAGTTACTGGGGTCAACTGAAAAGTGCAGGTAAGAACTTTTTTGATTAACTTTAGTGTGAATAAATTGAGGAGTTGTCTGTCATGCTCTTTTGTGTCCGATCATGTCTGTCTATTTTATTTTTAATTTTTGCTACTGATTTTACTACAGAAAATTATTAATCCATTTATCGCTTATGAAACCATTGTTTTGGTAGAAGAGTAATAGTCTATTGTAAGTGGTGGAGCCACAGATTGGCTTGGACCAGGTCTCAAACCCTGTTAAATTATGCGTAAGCTTTTGATAATCTTGTTTTTCTTACATTTTTTTGTAGGTGTGCAGCGTTTTTTTTTTTTTGGTCTACGACCTGGGCTGCAGCATAAGCAGCCTGGGGCATAGGTCCGCTACTGACTACCGTTCAACTGTGCATAGACATCCACCCACCTATCTTGTGTTAAGTACTTAAGTATGTCGAGACATTTACCTGAATCGAAATTTTGAGCTTATTAGTCTTAACATGGGCATGTTTTAGCCTTTACCAGCGCATGACTGGTTTGATTCCACCTTGTTTAATCACAATCTATCGCATTTTGAACTTTTAACTGCGACAAAGAAGAAAGAACTCCCATTTTTGTTTGAATTCTGATCTGTTGGCAAACTTTTTGTGAACTTTTTCCCTCGAACACACATGAGAGCTGCACATTATTATATTAAGAAGACCAAAGGGGGGAAAGAACCCCATACAACACCACACACTCACACCTTGGTTTCTAAGATTACAAAATCACCTGGAAAAACACAACAGCGACCCCTGACCTAGAATTCACTCATCTGGGCAGCTGACCAGTCAGCTAAGAAATACCTCTGCACCTGCAATCCCTCCAGTCTCAGTTTATCGGAGGCAAGAGATAAGGCACTATTATTTAGATTTGGAGAAACTCTGTTGAACACACAGTGATTCCTGTGATTCCAGAATCCAGAGTGTCCATGCTCCTAAAATGACATAGAGTTCAGGCTTTTTCTTGCCAAACCAGCAACAACCTTGCTGGCTCTATCACACCATCCTTCAAAGGATGTCTCACCCAGCTGAGGTGAGAGGCTTTGCATACCGACTGTCTGCAGCAGGCCAAACCAAATATCTCACGCAAAACCACAGTGCACCAAAAGATAATTTATCGTCTCTGCATCCTGGTTGCAATGGAGGCAATGAGAGGGATGATGAAGACCATATGCCTTGCCAGCATATCCACAGTCCAGCACCTGTTAAATGTGACAAGCCACATGAAGAAGTGACATTTGCCCGGTGCCACGTCTTCCATATCCTCTCCCAAGATTCCAACCTCACTGCTCCCTTGAAAAATCCTTCATAAGCCCACTTGTGTTGAGTTTCCAAATATGAGAATCATCAACACCAGGTTGTAGTTCCACACTAGACAGGATGTCCCATAATTCAAGGAATTCAACAATGGCACGCACTGAAAGCACACCTTGCACATCCGAGATCCAAGTCTGGTTTGTGAGATCTTCCAGGACGGTTTATTTATTTGCTCTCCTCTTAGGAATGAGAGCAATGAAGTGTGGAGGAAGGTCAGCAATGCATTGTCCATGAAGTCACCTATCCTTCCAAAACAGAGTACATGCTCTATCACCAACTTCAGAGATGACCACCATAGAGAAAAAAGCCCTCACACAGTGATGCACGTGGATAGGGAATTCCAGTATTCCACCCATGGACTACTTGGCTTGGTTTTTTTTTTCAGCCAGAGCCACCTCATTCGTGACAGGCCTAAAGCCTCCAACAGGTCACAGGAACACAGTATCACACAAGAACACACACGAACACAAGTGGTTTGGTTGCTGGAATGACTTAGCCTTTTCTGGTTTTCTCTTCTACTAATATAGCCAACGTGGGCTACAAATCAGGCTGTGATAGCCTCTAATGAATGCAGAATATTACCCAACTAATCGGCCTATTACTTCCTATTACTCCATGCTGAAATTTAGCTAAAGTAAATGCTATGAACCTAGACACTAAGCATGCACCTAGACACAGGATTATTTCCAACAATTCGGAGGGCCCAACTGAGGTTCTGAAGTGCTGAGATGCCAAGACTGCCAAGTTTGCGCACGCAGGGTGGGGGCGGGTGCAACATGCGTTGTGCAACGCTGCCAGGCAGACCTTCCTTTTCCAAAGAAAGCTTCGCGCCTTTGCCTGATCTTATTTATTTCCTTGATTGCCCAAGGTGGAAAGTCTACCACCATATCAAGATAAATCAGCTTTGAGGTGAATAAATTGCACTAAAATCTGCGCGGCCACCTTTGTTAGAAGTTCAGCTTTCCAACCTAGGAACTGATGAGCAATCAGATCGATAATAGGTCACACCTGTTCCTTTGTCAGCTTCCAAAGAGAGAGGGGCAGACCCAAATACATGGGAATTCCAGCAACTCACATGGAAGGTGACCTTGTACTGTACTGATATCAGTGGAAGTAAACTGGATAGGTTAAGAGGCTGCTCTTCTGTACATTGGTCTTGAGACCTGACTCCTGATGCCTCACCAAACATTTGTGAACTATCATAATCAAATCATTTGAAGTTTAGCATTTGTAAACTGCGCTGTTCTGAACTTTTTTGTTTATTGCATGACAATCATGTCTACAGTAAATGTTTTCCCTAACTTGTTTTTGTATTGCAAAACAATTTCCTAATTTATTTGCTGTCTGCTTTTGGCAATTCAGACAAAGGGAGGTAAAGGGAAAAAGGGTGGGCATGAATCTGATGGGTATGGTGAGGAGGAGAATGTCTCCACTTCTGATCAACCAAATGATAAACATTTAGAAGGAACACCTCAAATGTCTGATGTGCCTGGAGAACACATGGTATGACTTCCTTTTACTTTCTAGTCTTATTTATTTTAATAGTGGAAAAGAAAAAATGAAACAGCTATGCTTTGCCTTTGCCAGAATATTTTCAAATATGGGTACTATGTACATGTATCTTTAAGCAGAACATGAGAATGCTTATTCTTGGTTTCAAGGATTGAAAAAACACCAGACGCAGAAAAAAAAATGGACCTCAGCACTGTACTTTGCCTTTTCCAGCTGACCGGTTTTATGCGTGTGGAACGTATCACATCTGTTTATACTGGATGGTTGCCACCACTTTTTATCACTGCTACTCTCTAGACCATTGGTTTGTTAGTTGGTTCAGAATCAGCGATATATTATTGTACAAGGATTTATTGTTTGTGGTTCTCATTAGAAGGTTCAATGATTGATTTATTGAATGTCTGGTTGTTATACCTGAAAGCTCACTAAAGAGGTTTATTTGTGACAAACCTTATATCATTTTCATTTCTTACAGACTGAGGATAGCACTGGAGATATGGGACGAGGACGTGGCAGGGGACGTGGTCGTGGTGGCAGGGGCCGCGGGCGTGGTTTCCATCAACAGAACAACAATCAACACCACCAGAACCACCATCAGCACTACCAAAACAGTAGCCACCACAGTAACAGGAGTATTACCCATCCAGTGGGAACCCCACCATCTGGCCACTCAGTCAAGATTGAGCAACCATCTGGCCACCCAGTCAAGATTGAGCAGCAGCAGGAGGCAACTCAGTCACAGCCCCTCACAGCGGCTAACAAACAGCCTCCAGGTCCCCGCATGCCGGATGGCACACGTGGATTCACCATGGGCAGAGGGAAGCCGCAAACATTGACGCCCAGAGTATCCGAGTCTGAACCTTGAACAATGAATTCGAACCCCACAGATAGGGAGATGAGACTAATGGGTTGCTGTTTGCCATGTTGATACATATGCTGAGAGACTTGCCTTTTAGAAGTCTGTCCTCGGAGGTTGCTTTCTAATTTATGGGAACCATTACATTTCTGCATGTGCTGTGTGTACTTCCAAAACCAGCAGACACTGGTTTTCGACTAGTACGATTGCGGCCATTTTGTAGTTTCATTTTTGCCCCCCTTTTGCAGTTTTGGGAGCAAGACTGAAAAGCAAAAACTCATGTTAAAAAAGCTGGAAAGAATTGAATCATTGTAGAATAAGATTGTTTCTTAGCCGTTTGCAGGAAATTGATCATTTCGATGCGTTTACCATTTTGTTGTAGTTTGTCGATGAAGAACGATGAACGTTACCCACTTGACCAATTGAATTATCAGAGCCTGGCAACTCCCTGTAGTAGGGCTAAGCTAAGCTATGTTAAATCTATATCTATGTTCTATGCTCTATTCTACTTATATACCAAAAAATAAGTCCTAGCTTTTTTAATAATATCTTTTATTATATATCTACAAATAGTATATCTAGATGGATAAAAAAAACTAGAAAAGCCAAACCCTACTACAGATTCTAGCTTATCCCATGCGATCCACATCATCACAAGGACCCCACCAAATCACTATGCTCAAACATCAAATTGCATTTACACCAAAGCGCTGAGAAGACAAAAAGACTACAGTTAACAATACAAACTATTCAACTTTACCAAACTGGTGGAAACCTCTCCATCTTCCTAACCACGTGGCGTGCCCTGCTTCTATAAAGCCGTAAGCACGGTTGGAACCATATCTGACCCAAAATTCACTAAGAGATCAAAGATAGTAGCTACTAGCTAGGGAGGAGAGAGCCAACGATTCACTTTGAAGATCCATGTGGCAGAATCGTTCCAAACACCACGTTTCCGGAGACGCTCGTCTTCTACTAGACACTGAGCACTATGAAAATAAGTTACATCGGGCAGTTCCGTCGAGCACACCCCAAGGAAAAACTCGAACAATCCACGTTTTTCATCCAGGATCCAATAATGAAAACGAGCTTACAATACTTAGTACATTTCATACAACCAGGGTTCTCGAAAATACATTATTACAATACCAAGTTCAGAGTGCGGAATTTAAACAGCGGAATTGAAATAAACAACTAACGATAAGATACAAGGATCTGTCTATGCCCACCAGATGACTCCTCCACACAACAGTCACTCCTCAAGCTGCACCTGCAATAAGAGTAAATAAACCCTGAGTACATAATGTACTCGCAAGACTTAACCGACTAGTGAGAATAATTTCCCAACTCCAAAGGATATGATAAGCTTTATGGTTTGCTGTGTTTTCTTTTTACGAAAAGCATTACTAGTAGTAAATCCTTAGGTATGTGTTTTATTAGCAGTTATGATTAGTTCATTAGCTAACCATTCTATGTAACCACGTGTTCTACTTTCAAGTATGAGTTGAGCAATCAGATTCATTCATCATCCTTCACCTTTCAGTTCTTACTATAGTGCTAGACCATAGCCAAGTCGTACCGCATCACGCGGCGATTCGCGAACCAATGTATCCCAGCTGGATACCCCAAAACACACGTCCCGCTTGTACCCCAGGCACAAGCAAGACCAACCCACCACTCTCCTGTCAAGGGGTCCAGGTCCCCATCCAAACTTGGACTCCAAGCCCCCACACCTGAGTCCCGGACTCGGTGTGGTGCTTAGACCTCCACCATCTCCGCCCCCAGTCAGTCGGTCCGGAAAGAGCCGGAACTCACGACAAGAGAGCAACGAGCCTTCCCACTCCCATAAGTAAGTATGTGCTCAGGATAATAAGTCTACGATCTGACTATCATCCACAACAATGGACGGTCCTTAACTGACACGGACAGGGAAAACATTGTAACCACGCTATGCCCCGTTGGCCGCGGGATATAACCTATTACACCCACCAATACCTGTACTATATCCCTGCCCGGTCTCCATTTTCGTTTCACCATTTTATTATGAGAGCAGTAATAATAATTACCGACTGTGAGTAACGGCAGGTTACTCACGCTACCGAAAAACCTAAGCATAGCAACTACTCGACCTAAGCTAGTAGGACTCCTAGGTAGGTATATCTATGCATGTAGTTTCAACAATAAGCCAGTAACGTAAATGCACATCACATATATATATCCAGTGATTATTCAAAATAAGGGTTATGTACCGGGGCTTGTCTTGGGCAGGCGGGGTGTTAGCAAAGTCAGTCACTGGTGGCTCCGAGGCTCCCTCCTGTATGAGAATTTACTCCTCGTACTCCTCGATCACCTCCTCATACTTCTGCTCACCCGCGGTCACGAACTCCACCAACTCGTTCTTTACATGCATGCAATGATGATGCAACACTTAGTATTACGACAACAACAACTCTTAAAATAACAATACATCTACCAAGCTACTAAGCTAACTCTAATGACTAAGATGCTAAGCTACCCATCCTTTCCACTAAATAGGTATGAAACATTCAAGTATTATCTTAGCAACTAAAATGCATTTCTTCTTTTATTAACGATTTAATGTATATTAAAACAAGGAGCACCCAACTACCTTATTTCTCGGTCTATTATAGGGCCACAAAAATTACAGTGAGCACATAATAATACAACGAACCTACTGTAAAAATTTCATGAACAAAACTATTACAAATTTGCCACAAAAATTCCTACAAATATTAACCTAAATAATGTTAAACACTCTCAAATGATTTAATAAGCCTTAGCATCAACTCAGACCTACATAATCTAGTCATACCATCAGATAGACAATATTTTTAGAAACTCAACAAAATTTATTTCAAAAATTTTGGACACCTATGCGAATTGATATTAATTTTCAAAGTTCAGCTCAGAAATTAAAACATAAAGCTATTTCTAATTCCTTAAGAAAAGGAAAAACGAATTAACTAGCGCGGCTCACAACCACGCGGACTTGGCCCATTTGCGTGCAGCGCGTGCGCACACGCGGCCTGCAGGCGCGACCCACGCACACAGGCCGCCCCGCAGTGGGAGATAGCCCGTGCACTAGCGCTTTTGCAGAGACGCCCCTGTGCTACCTAGTATTCGCACGGCGTTGTTCGCACTATTCCTATAGACAACAACTTTGTAAGAACACCCTCGCAATCTCCCTCCTTTACAATGATACAGTCCTCGACCATCCCCGCACGAGTCGACACGGTGAGCGGTGGCACTGACGCCTGCGCCGACCACACGAGACCCACGCTGACCTAACTACGAGGCTGATGCTCACCTAGGGTTTGACGCGAAGTGATAGGTGGCGGCTGCATGAACTGAGACGCAGTAGAAGGGCCTCTCCACGACGGCGGGCACCCTGCAGTAATGGCGATGGCGTTCCGGTGAGCCACAATATTAACAAGGCAGTAGGGGTAGCGGGTGAGCAACAGGGACTCACCACTAACCTAGTGGAGGTGATGGTTCGGCCGAAGATGCCCCGAGCGAGCCTGACCGCGTGCACGCGGCGAGCTCGACGGTGAACCACGGTGACACGATCGTGCCAGCGGCGAGGAGGCAACGGTAGAGGTGCGGCTTAGGTACGTACGATGAGGAGGGGTTCTAGGCGAGGCTAGTGGTGCAGCTAATTCGGCTCGAGACGTTGAGGAGGGGGCTGGCCACGGTGAGGGCGGTGACGGGTCTTAACGGCGCGATGGTGGGGCGAAGCTCCAAATTGGAGCTTGGCCTTGCACGATTCAAGTCTGGGTGGGGGCGGGTAGCCAGAGGAGGTGAGAGCACAAACGTAGGCATGTGGAATTGATAGGGGGTGGCTTCTCGCTTGTAGGCGGGCTGGCGTGACTCGGCGGTGGCAGCAAAGAATAGGACAGGGGAGGGGCAGGAGACGATGGGGACGCTGTCAAGGCTTGGTCTATGCTTGCTTAGCGGGACACGGTTGACTCGACCGGAGCGACCACGGCCAGCACTAGCCGACAACACGCGCTCGAGGTCTACGTGGCCCACGCGCCGCAGTGCCATAAATGGCATGGCAACGGTGGTTCGGCCTCATGCGTCTAGCGTCCAGGCGAGCTAGTGGCGCAGCGCAGCGTAGCGATGCAACAGCAGCGACAGCGGCATTGTCGTGGCACGACATGGAGGGCAGCAGCAACGCGCGGCAATGGCAGCAGGCGGGGTCAGCGCGATGTGGCGAGTCGGGCAGCCATGGCTCCGCGCAGCGGCAGCCCGAGGCGGCCAGTGATGCGGCTCAAGCACGGGCAGCTCCGGCCGGCCAGCGCGCAGCCACGCACGCGCTTGCACGCACCGAGTGCCACGACGTCGAGGCCTCTCAGCATGGTGATCGCGTCCAGCCGGAAAAAATAGCCCGAGAACACGCTGTGCATGGATTTTAAAGCGTTCGAAACAACTACACAGTTGATCCAATCCCCAAACCACCTTCACTACTCTAAAGAGGGCACCTTAGGTTATCAACAAGAGCTAAAGAACGACACCACTTCTAGACTCAATTTTTATAGAATAAATTACCAAACATAGCTTTGTCAATCTGTTTTCATACTTAAGAAATTGACTAAGTCTTGAGTTAGATTTGCTTAAAATTCGATTTCCAAGCTATTAGAAATGTTAGCTAGCGTTATTATCTTGTTAAAACAAAAGTTGCACTATCTTCTACAAAATGTGTACATCAAACTTTATTAAGATGTCACATATATGTTTTATAGCGTTTTTGTTCAATAAAAATTAGTTAACATCTCTACTTGCTAACTTTATAAATCATGAATTAACTTTTTGTTTTATACGACTCGTTTAAGTTACAATGCTTTACCTATCCATCACACCACGTGCAATATCACTTAAGTATGATGCTCATGACATGTTTTAGCAAGTGATTCACTGTGTAACACCGAGGGTGTTACAACTCTCCTCCCTTAAACAAAATCTCGTCCTGAGATTTCATGTGCCTAGTG